GTGCCGGCAGAGCAGCTTCATGCCCCTGGGATAGCCCAGGAGCGGCTGCGGTGCCTGCTTGGGCACGTGGAGAGGCAGGTCTGCCACAGCTCCCAGCTTTGGCACTTTTATCGAGCACCACATTAACCATTATTTCAGCAAACAATGCAGCAAACCGCAGGGGAAGGGTGGGGAGACGCTGAAATTTGCAGGCTCTTGTTAGGTACAAATGCTGCTCAGCTGCATGGCACTTACTTACCCATGTGGTTTATGCAGAGAAATCACGCAAATAAATATAAAGCAGCACTTGCTGTAGAGAATGAGCGTAACCCGCCTGATGGGAGAAAAAACATCCCATTTCGGCTGCCCGGCAGCCGGCCCCCCCCCCGGGAACTGCTGCATCCCCCGGTTCAGAGTCACGCAGCTCGAAAAGCACTTTGAGATCTTTTTTGGATGAAAGCCGTGGACAGCTCGAGCCAGAGGGAAATGGGTGCTCTCAAACAGAGGCTGAACTTCTTCTGGAAGTAATTGCAGGCACTCAGCACGTTGGAGCAGCAGGCACAGATGGAGGCTGGGAATAATACAGTAATAGCCCAAGCCTGAGCAGAAGGGGTTTCTATTTAAGTGCGATGCTTAAACTGTAAATTTCCCACAATAACCTGCAATACCTCTCTTTGGCTTTCCTTACACAGATGTGAACCGCAATATGAAATGCCTTTAAAACACCAACACAGCCTAACACCTGTTCTAACGTTTTCTATGCCGCTCTTGCTGAGAGAAAAACAATAAAACAAAGCTGGATGGCACCAACAACCACCAAAAAGCAAAACTGTGGCAAAGCTGCCGGATTAAACAGCATCTCCTTATGCAGTTCCCACCTGCGGGCGCAGAAGCTTTTCAGGCATTACAGCTGAGCATCCCACCAGCGCCAGCATCTGCATTTACCTGAAATTAAAAGGTTTTAAGCTTTACAAGAGTATCTTACAGGCACAACTGTATTGAATTCTTACAGGAAAAACTATATTCATAGAACTTAAGGTTGAAAAATCCAATTCCACCTGGGAAGAGAGAGGCCTTGACCCATGTCCTTTACTGTCACAATGTGTGGCATCAGCCATCTCCAAGGCTCAGCCTTGGGGTGCTCACAGCAAAGCGGGGTCCCTGCACCCCTGTGGCAGGTGCTTATCCTGGACTGGGACCATCCTCTGAACCCTACTTCCAAGGAAATAGGATTTTGGAGGGCTACCAAGAAGCCAGGGTATACATTGCTGGTTTGAATAGTGGCATTTTTGCAAATATTTTTATTTTTGCTGGTATTCCTGGGTACCGGGAGCCCTCCTGCTGGGTGCTGGGGACCAGCGAGGGTGATGGATGCTGAGGGGTTCCCCACCTTCCCACCTCGGGCCAGGCAGGACCGCAGCGAGCCCAGCTCCGAGGACAGCCACCCCCTGCACGCCGACAGCCCTGCGTCCTGCACAAACCTGCATTTTATGCTACAACAGATGAAGAACCACTGTTCTCACAGCTGTCTGACATGAAAATTATTCCTGGGGAATTTCCTAGGGTGGGGAAGGGAAAAAGCCACCCAAATCTGGGCAGAACGCTGCGGAAGCCCCGTCTCCCGCGCAGCCTCCACCACCCGGGCAGGACCCCTCTCCCCGATCCCCCCTTTTCTTCCCGGGGTGCCAGCACCCACTCGCATCCTGCACGCTAGTGGTTTCTAAGCAAAGGCCGCCGCAAACTAGACCGAGATCACCAGCTCATTTTATGTTAGACAGTAAACAGACATAAGATGATCGCTCCAACTTAATTATATAATAATTAAGCCCTCATATTCCTGTCATCTGCAACTGTCAAAGGCAGTCTGTACGGGGCTGCTGCTCCTCTGGAAGAGCCGTCACTCATCGCTTCTGAGAGGTGTCAAAATAAGGGTAATTTTGCCTGCAATGCCAGCTAACGGCTGTAAACAAGCGATCGTGCTTCGCTTCAGAGCTCTGCCACGGAGCGGGGGCCGTGGGGACGGAGAGATCCCGCTCACCAGCAGCGTGGGATCACGTCCCGGGACGGCGCAGGGAGCGCGGCAGCCTCGGGTCCCGGCACGGGGTCCCCACGTCCCGGCGGTGGCACCGGCATTGCACCCCCATCGAGCGAAGTCACCTCCTTGCCTCGTGCCAGCAAGCTGTGTGAAACGTATGTATTTAAGCGTGTTATTAGGAAAAATTAGAGACAAATCAGCACGTGCTTTTCCCTGCAGGAGCAGAAAATGAAGGCTGAGGATGGAAATGCAGCTTCATTTACTGTGCACCCAGAAGAAGATGCAATTCCCCGAGGTGCAGCTGAGCACGGCACCCACTCCGGCACATGCGGAGATTTGGATGGGCTCCCTCTCTGCTGGAGGAGACCACGTCCTCTCCCAGCTCCTCTGCTCACCAGGCCTGATCCTGCTCCCTCGCTGCATCTTCCACGGCTGAACCGAACACGCTGTACTGTCCCGCTCTCCCGGGAGAGCTGACAACCCCAGGAGGTCTGTCCATAAGCCCAGGCTTTCTCCTTCCCCTTTGGCTGCCTCCCCTCCTGGCCAAGTCACAGAGCTCTCTGTGCATACACGCACTACTGTAACTACTATTTTATTATTATTTAATTTTTCACAAGCACCATGTACAGCTTGCAAGGTTTCATTTAGGATTGCTCTGCTGCCTGTCAAAAATCCTGCCACCTTTGTGGTTTCTAAGCAAGTCATTACCATTGCTCCAGCAACACCCCATCAGCTAACAGGCAGGTGGAAAAGAATACCTCATTCAATTAAAGCAATGATTAATTTTTACAGGAGAAGTATGATGACTTATATGGAGGGCTTCCCTCACGCTTAGCCAGTGCTGCTCCTGCACACCCGCTTTTCCCTCTCACCCGTGGCCCAGCCATGCTTTAACAAATTCCTGATTAATCACCCTGGGAGGCAGCCGTGACTCATTGCCTTCTCCAGACAAGTGCCTCCCAAGGAGCCCGCTGACCTCTCCACCCCGCCTGCAGCCGATGCACCTTTTGGCTGGTCCTTGTCAACACGGTCTGATTTGTTCGGGTGAGCCTGGCACGGCACGCAGGAAAATAAAAAGCAAACTGGAAAGAGTCGCGGCGGCACGCTTGGCATGTGGCACCGTGCGTACCGGGACGTGCCAAGCGGTGCTAGCCAGGACCCGCAACCTAAAAATACTGTGAGACACCTCGACGCTGACCTTGGTCTTTTACCTGTTCCATCCTGAGAAGGGGATTTGGGATGGGGAGGCTGGAGGAGGGCTGGCTCACGGCACTGCCGAGCCTGGGGCAGCGGCGGTGTGATGCTGCTGGAAGTGGGGGCACTGGGACGGAGATCCTGAGCACTCCTTGGAGCTGGGTTTATCATCCCCACGGAGCAGATCATACTCCACGTGCTGCTGGAGCACGAGCAGCCAACCCTGCCCTGAGTTGTCCCCGTGTCCCCGCCGTGCTGAGCCCTGCTCGTTTGGTGGTGCTGCCCGAGGCTGACCCAGGCAGCAGCCAGGCATCGCCGCGGGGGAGAGAAGAGAGATCCCCAAATGCAGGCAGGGACATAACAGAAAATGCAAAACCAAATTTGAGTCAAGCGGCTTAAATCTGCATCACAAACCCGACTTTTTGCATCCACGTGCTTTTGCAAGGCAAAGCAACGTTATTTTTCCTGGGTAACTTATCCGACAAAATTGCTGCTCTTTGCAAGGATGTGTTGGCCCAGAATAGGTGCTCGTCTGCCCTTTCTTACCCCCGAGATGGACTTTCTGCTATTTGTCTTCACAGAGCAATTCAGTGAACAGCTGCAAAGGATGTTTTGTTCCTTGAACATAATTCATTCCTCTTACACCAGCTCCATTCACCAAAGTTCTGGAGATCATGGCACAACTCCCTGAGCTCCTGAAAAACATCAATGTTGAGAGGTTAAAGATTTTAAAGCCTGCTGCCACCTATGGATGGAAAGCAGTGAGAGCAGAAAACCACCGCGGGGGGCACAGCTGGCTGAAATGAAGACTTGAACTCTTGAATAAAAGCCATTGGCAGTGGGGACATGCCAGCAGCCCTGGACAAGACCTGAGCTTTCTCCTTCTTCAGACAAACTCAACAAGGTGCAGGGCACAGAGGGCTGATGGAGGGTATTGGGATATTTGCCACCCATCATGTGAATACACGTAGTCCAAGAAAGGAAATAAGCCTTTTTTTTGGCTTGCTGGATTAATCTGATTACAGTGTTGTTATTGACAGACCGTAGCTTGCCCTCCCCCTTACCTAATTGTTCTGATTTAACTACATCCTTAAAAAAAAATTGTACATATTTGCATTCAGATTGCTAAAGTGATAATTTTTGCAATAAAACTCTACAGAATACTTAAAATAGACATTTGTGGGGCCACAGAAACTACAGGGTGGCATATTCCACCCCCACTGGAGGAAACAGGGTTATCTATCATAAAGGGGACATGTCATTTGTACAGCATCATACCTAGCAGAGCTCCTAGTTCATGGAAGAGGCTATTTGGTTTGTGGCAGGGTAAGGGGAGAGGTCAGGCAGTATCTTCCACAGATGTGGGACAGAAACTCCAGCCACATAAAACCACGCATGGACAGAGAGAGCTCCCACCCTGCCGGCGAGCCGGACCGTGTGGGAACCGTGCTGCCCTCCGCTCAGTGGGACCAGTCCTAAACTGGACAAAGAGAAGAGGATGGGGAGACTGATGCAGAGAAATGACTGCAATCCAGCGTTATATGAAACGCTGTTATATACATCATATTTCATGCTTATACACATGGTAGTCATCTTTTTTTTTTTTTTTTTGCTCTGGTTATCTGCATGCATGCTCCGAAAGTGAAAAGGTAACCGAAAGCAGGCACAGTCTAACCCGCTGGTGTCAGGCACCCACCACAACCACCGCCTTACTCTTTAGAAAAAGATTTCATACTTTCAACACGGGGTTAAAGATGTCCTATTATTTTATTCCTTTTTTTAAATTTCATCAGCTTCAGCTTCTTGAAAAACCTGTTTTTCTTTTATCCTGAGTCATTTCGCGTGAAGAAACTATTGTTCTAAACTGTGACTCATCAGTTTGCATCACCACTTTCCAAACCCCTCGGGGGCACACAGGCTTCGAAGCAGGCAATGGCAACCAGCCTTTATTTACCAATAAATAGGCACTTCATCGCTGCATTGACTCATCGCTATTTAAGCCTCATTTTGTTCCTACTTCCCAACCGTGAACCCGGAGCGATCATTCTGGTTGCTTTTGTAGCTGTCTTTTATAAAGAACTTTCACACGAACCACGTCTTACTGACAGTCTGTCTGCTGTTTAAATACAAATACAAAAACTTGTAAGGAGAGACAAGTATCTAAATGCTAGTGCTGAAGTATACCGAGTTTCCAGAAACCAGCTTGCCACGAGGCAGAAAACACAACTGCTCGTTACTGAGACATACCTCATATACTAGAATTAACGGGGAAAAGGAGGCCAACATCAAAATTATCCGCTTCATTGAAGCTCTCACACAGATCATAACTGTATCTTTTTGAAATCCAAGTCAAAAGGAGCACTTTTGGAGCTAGACTCCCCTCCATAGCCCGGAGCTACATCACCCCTGCCCAGCAAATGTGGTGCCAGCAGCAGCATGGGAGGGATGAGTGAATTTTGGACAAGCAAAACTGAGCCTCTAAGTGAGTTTAAAGGTGCAAAATCAAAGGTTTGATCCTGCTTTTCTTATGCACCTAGACCCCAGTAATCCTCCTTGTGTACTTCTGCTACTGAATAAGTATCAATAAAACAAAGAAACTAAGGAGTTTGGATGCATTATTCCTCCTAAATCCCACAGCTGCCAAGACCGAATGATACTCAGCACCTTACCTTAAATATATGATGCTGCACTTTCTTGCGGGACATAAATCACAGCTCAAATCTCCTGCAGCCATAGTGCCAACTGGAGTCAGAGGGAGCTGAGTTTGCAGAGCTGCAAGCTCAGGCAGCGCGCTGCTCCAGCAAACTCTCGCCGTGGTTCATCTGGGTTGAGATTCATGTCAAGGGCAGGGGGATCGCACAAGGCACGGAGCAGCCTTAACGCTAACAGTCGTGTCCGAGGCAGAGAAAAGCGCAAGAACGTTGCTTGAAAACCAGTGAGAAGAATAAAAAGAACGTCCAGACCTACGACTAGGATGATTTCTGTTAAGTACCCCAAAAGTGGGTTGCACACCATGATAAGCTTAAACTGGGGCATAAACTCCTGGTTTTCTCTAACAGCAAGTAGCCTATTGATGTGAAATTTTAACACAGTTTAATTTTTCTTGCCTTCCTACTCTTCTATGCTGTCCTGTGTATACCTTTACAGAAAAAACGTTTGAAAGTCATCTTTAGCCAAAATTTCCACAGCAGTCGCCAACACTTCACTGCTGGCAGAGCTTCCCAGCCATGCAGCATGGGGCGCAAATTTATTTTCATGGGGGAATGAGCTGAATTTGGGGCTTGGGGTTTTCTTTGGCTCTTGAGGAGCAGTGACACGTCAGCCTGAGCTCCTGATTGAAACCTCCTCATCTGGCACAGCTTTCCACCACCAACCTCTCCTGTACCGCAGAGGGCTTTGTGGGGTGATGCTCCAGCTTCCACTTCACCCAATTTCTTAGTCTTAGCACAAAAACCCGCAAACTCTCCAAAGACTGGCACCGAGAGCAGATTAATTCCTAGCGAGATACAGAAATATAGGCTGAAGGGGACAGGGGCAGGGTTGCAACACATGGCCTGTAGGCTACATTATACAGGAGAGAGATGAAGGCACATGCTGCTCCAGGAGCTTTGGGGACGTGGTGTGTGAATGGAGGGCCACCATCTGTTTTTGAAGGGACTGTCTGCTCAGGCACTTGCTGCAGCAAGGCAAGAGTTTGATCGCCTCTTCTGTGAAATGAGAAAACCAGGAATAAAGTAAATCCAGGATCCCACCGGCCTTTTTTCCCCCCCTCTGTGCTTTTGCTCTCCCTCCTTGCCCAACTTTTTCACCCGGTCCCCGGGACAGGCTCTGGTTTTTCTCCCACCTGCCAGCACCCATCTGCCTGCACAGGCAGGCTGCCGCTTGTCCCAGCCAGCTCCTGCCCAGTGCAACCCAGCACACAGCCCACTCCCTGCCCGCTCATTCCCCTCTGGCAACGGGCTCTGGATCCCAAGGAAGCTGCCTAAGCCTCCCTACAGCAGCGAGCTACACTGAATACGGGTGCTGGATGAGAAGATGCCATGCTAGGGCAGACCTACCATAGCCCTTGAGTTTTGGGGAAGAAATTAAGCATCTAGGGTGGGGAACATCACTGACCTTTGCACTTGGGATGCAGGCTCAGCGCCGGAGCTGATGTAGAGGTGCCAGGGCTGGTCCCAGTGAGCGCAGGCGGGACGCATCTCCTGGAGAGCAGCAGGGGAGGGCACGGCTGAGGCAGGCTCCAGCGGACAACTCGGGGCAGGACCAGCTCCCTCCCCACCGCAGCCTTGTACCATGCAGGTCACCATCGGTACCACCTAACGAGTGCCAAAGCAAAGCATGAATGGCCCATTTCTCCCACGTATTTTTTTCCCTTCTTCTGCAATCCTGAGACACACTTTTTAAAAATTTTGCAGAAAGGAACCAAATCTCAGCCACACATCCGTTTTAAGAAGAATTCACTTCAAATCTGGACTGTACACAAGAAACATGGGGGTTTTGGTGATTTTTTTGATAGACGCTGTCTTTGTGAAGTGCTCTTACGTTCACAAGGTGTGCAAGACATTATTACAGAAACTCACAGCACCCTTCCTCTTACCTGGTAATGTACTGGGTGGTTTCTTTGCTTTATTGCTTGACCTACTTCCCTGTCAATAAACATCTTCCAGCAGCATCATGTTCTGCAGTAAGTTCAAATTCACTTTGCGCTCCCAGAGAGGTGCAAGTCCAATGATAGTTGACCAGGTCAGACAAGGACTTCACCAGCACCATCTCCCTGCATGTATTTCATAATTTCATGTTTACAGAGACATAAATAGACTCCATCCCACAGTCACATGCATGAGGATCTGTTACACATTCTTTGCTGCAGTCAGACTTAGAACAGCTCCATGAACTTCAGCTAACCACGGTGACTGTAACTTTTTTGGCTTTCCTCATTTCTCCCAAAATAATAATGGCAAACAACATGTGTAAATCTTTTACTGACTGTCTCTTGCATTCTGCCTGACAACGGCTCTGAAAACACAAGCAGAATTTCTTCTTTGATAGAGGGCCCCCTTACAAATTTCTTCCCCAAGATTTTAAACATCAAACTGTTGAAGAAAAGCTCTCCCCAAAACAGCCTGGGGGAAAAAAGTCATATTGTTTTTTAAACTTAGGAGGCAACTCAAATTACAGATTAGGAAACAAAAGGATATTACAGATGTGGTAATAGCAGACAGGAGGACTAGAGGAGAACTTAAAAAAAAAAAGACTATAAATCAAAAATAAGTTCTCTTACAAATGTTCAGGTACAAGTGTCGAATCAACACATCCTTCTTTTGGGGATGTTCATCAGAGCTCTTCAGAGCCAGCTGTCACAACCACAGCAGTGAGTAAGAGCAAACGGATGGGACATGTTTTCTAAAAAATGCTTGAGTAAACATCTCATTGTGTAGGAACACCCATACTTCTTTACAGCAATGCCAGAAGTGTCTCTGATGCCAGTAACAAAGCATAAGCTCTAAAAAAAGGCAAACTATATTATTAGCTCTGTCTCCTTCTGTTCTGCCTAAACACTGTTTCTCCAGGCAGCACCCAGAACTCCAGCTGCTCTCCCTACTGTAGCTGCACATCTGAATTTCTCCCACAGTATCTCCTGTAATTATTATCCACCAGTAAAGCAAAAGCTTTTAATTTTCTCTATTGCAAACTCCTGATTTTTTTTAGCCTTTGAAACCTATGAGTGCAGACTTTCACTGAACGTCCTCTGCAATTTCATGCTAACGCATCTGAGTAACAATATTTTGAACATATTTTAAACATCTTGTGTATATATATCCATACATATATATTTACATATTTTAATATATATTACATACATTTATACACACACACAGAGCAAGGAATAGAAGAGTTAAGTGGCACATACAGGAGTCTTCCTTTTACAATTCCAATTTATTTGAACCTAAACCAAAATCCTGCTCTAAGAAAGCAGAGAGAAAATGGCACTTAGGCACTGGGGCTGGAACTAATAGTCTAGGCTGAACTCAAAATCCAGCTCCAAGTGCCAACAGGCATAAGAGCTTAAAATATGGTTTTAAGTTTTGCAGCCCATGCTTATCTCTGGTCAGAAGTCAAGTGCATTAAACAAGTGACCTCAGCTTTGTCCTTGGGGAACAGTTGACCAAGGATCAGCAGTTTGCAGTGACTTAGCAAAAAAACAGCTTAATTGTAGGATAGCGGACAGATTTCAAAATAACCTGACAAACGCTGGCATTACCATAGCATGCACAGACCGATTGAAATACAGCTCCTATCACTAGCTAATTTCTCTCCCTCCCCTTTGCTTTCACAAGCACCAGCGTTTCCAAATACCAGCCCCAGGGTCAGTCCACAAACAAGCTGTGGCAGAGCAGCATTAGGAGCCCTGTTCATAATTGTTCTCCCTCTTACCTCGCTGGCAAGAGGACATTTTTCAACCCAATTAATTTTTCCCTTCCTCCACTGCACAGCCTGGAACTTGGTCAAGTATTTCCTAGAGATGCTCGCACAACCCGCGGGGCAGCCCCTGCACCATGGTCCCCTGCACTGACCCCCTCCTCCAGCCTGCTCACTACCTGAAGCTAGCAAAGCTTCTAGGTTTCAACAAACCTTTAACAAAGATTTTAACAAACTCTTAACTTAGAACAAATTCCGACCTTCCTCTCAAGAGCCACATTCTCACTGAAAAGCAGCTTCCTTTGCTCAGAAACCCCGTGTGCTACAAAACGTGAACCACTTCAGATCCTCTCGACAGGGTAAGATCAGGTTCCCCTCGTTAGCTCAGCCTCCCCTTCTGCACATACTACTGCAAGCACCAGTCCCATCCCTTCCCAGACCAGCAGCTTGTCACAGTATACCCCTTGTCAACAAACCAGCTATATCCACTCCTGGGTTTGGGTACTCAAGTATCATTAAATTGCTAAGATCAAGTCTCCAACAGCTCATCTCTGCCCCAAGCTACTGCCAGGGGTTTGCTCCAGCTAATGCTGCTGCTCCTGGGAGTTAATCAAACCACTCTGACAGCAAAGTACCAGCTTTGTGGGGGAGAAAATCTAACCCAAGAATACAAATTCTTATTTGCCTGTACCAAAACTAGGCATTTGGACGCAATACTGAAAGTGTACCTTTAAATTCTCCTTTTACAAGGATAGTGTTTATTTACATTGCATTTAGGAAAGAGAATCAGAAATTACAAGCAGATCCAAGTTTTGCACCCACTCTACACATTGCAAGTTTTTGTGCTGTTCTTTTAACTTGTTACCTACTAAATATTGTCATAGTTGGGTGTAACACAGTTGACAGTGAATGGTACATGCTTAGAGTGGCTTTTTTTGCTATGAATGCAGAGGAGGTGACCCAAAATGCCATTGATTTACACATGATTTGTGCAGTATCTTCACTAACTTGCATGTAATGAAGGCTTCTGTCATCACTCTAGGACACAGGCAAACGGTGCTCAGGTTAAGGGAGGCATTGCTTCATTCGATGTTGCTGCTGGTTGCTGTGAGAGCTCTTCTTATTCAGGCAGTGACCAAGTACAACCTAATCCCTCTGGACTTCACCTTCGTCAAAGGTTAAACAAGGACAACAAGAGCCCTCTGCCTCACAAGGGTGTTGAGGCAGCATTAGCAGGTAGAAAACTTCGAGATCCTGGAACAAAAGGCATTGAAGGCTCTAAAATGTTATAAATTTCTTACTGTGATGGGACACATGCCATAAGAAACAGGGTCCTAAGAAAAAACAAGGGATACCTTTTCTTAATGATTATTTTACCGTAACTGCTCACTACCAAACACATTTCTAATTCTAGTTCCAAAGCAGTCCAGTAAGAAATAATTTGAAAAACAAACTAAGGAGAACACATACTTAGGATTGCAAAGTAGTTTTCTATCACATAAGGTTAATACACTTTCCCGTGGGCTGCCTCAAACAGGATTGAGTGGACTCAGCTTGAGGAACACCTAAACTCGGTGGCAATCCCCACTCAATATAGTCCCACCAACAGTGCAAATCCTAGAGGGCAGCTGGATTCTAAAAGGCAGTATCATTTGCCTGTAAGATCAGAACCTTCCATCTCATTTTAAAATTGCAACAAAGGAAATGTAATTTTTTCCATGCTCAAAGAGTTTTCCAAGTAGAGGGTTTGCTTCTATGCAAACATGAACAGAAACCCTAGCAAAGAAGGGACTGAATTATTATTATACCCAGCTGAAAAAAAACCCAAACTCACTACTAGACCATGTACTAGTCAGCACACTTTTTTCTGGTTTTGATAATTAGACAAGAACTACCTGTTTAAAACTCCTTTTCTTCAAAGTCCAAGTCAGAACTTTATTTTCTATTCCCGACACTTACATTTCAAGCATGGGATGGGATAACATAACAAACACCACATTAAGAACATGTTTAAGAACACTCTCATCTTTAGCTTTTCTTCTGCAGTTTATTATATAAATTATGCTTTTAAACAGTTAGAGCACTCACATTTCAAAACAGAAAATGTTTAGTTTCACACTGAGATACTAGTGCAAAGAGTGGTTTATCTAAGTGCAAATAAGTTACATGCCCCCACTGACAGCCAGTGGATTAGGCTGTTTTTAATATAACTCCTAAGTCCATAACGAACAATTATATTACCTACACTAAATCTGAGCATGTTGTAGTCAACAGAAATATTGGACTTTGTTTGGTAACAACCAAATACTCTGACAGTACAAACAAGAGAAGAACAATTCGACTTCAAGCAGACCTGTGAATTCACTGGGATTGAAGACCACCACCATCACTTTCCTGACTGGACTTTAGTTATAAATAAGTGGATGTCAAATGTTCTATTTCACCTTCAATTCCAATGATTAAAATACAATAAAGCTCACATGCATGCAGGTATTGTATTCCAGTGAATGCCATAGGTCATCTTTGGCACATCATAGACAGTACCTGAACACTGAATACAGAAATATTAATGAAATAATCTTGATCTGGCAAGAGGATAAATGAGAAAGCTCAAAGATCCTTCCCATCTCCAATGCCAATCATTGCTGCCAAAAAATTTATTAAACTAAGAGTGAAATACACCAATGCCTCTGAGTTACACGAGACATACTAAACCCCAAGTTTAATTAAATCCAAGCAAAATAAATCTTATTCAACCCATAGACACTAGTGTATGGGGTCACTACAGTGAAATACAGGCCACTTTGTCAGAAGTAGTTATTAGCATCTTAGGAATCTGCATTCATTTTGCTTAAAGAACTGTTGTGATGTAAAAACAAAATGAGACACTTCATAAATAACATCTTTATTAATGAGTTTCCTTTTTCACATTCCTTAAAGTGATATTTAATTGAAATCTGCATAGTCAAGAGTGCAAAAAAAAATTCATAGAAGTCGGACCCAAATGTGAATGTTGCCCCTTTTTTTTTTTTTTTTTTAGTTAAGTAAGACTGGTCACAATCATAGGAATAAGCAAACTCCAGAAATAAATGGCTGGGGAGATGTGGAAGGGGTGGGGATGAAAACCACCAGAAAAAACTCTCAGCAGTATATCTGCCTATTAATGAAATCTTCACAAAAAGACACACAACACCCATTCACATTCATGTGTACAACAGAATGTAAACTACAGAAGAAAGGTACTTCCTCTACTGAATGAAATGAAACAGAGCGAGATTATTTGTGTATTTGAGTGTTGATCAGCTATTCCCACAACAGGAACCATTACAATACCCAGGTGGATAAACACAAGGTCCAGATTTCTTCATGCCCTTATTACAACCACATTTAAACTAGCATCCTACAGTAGGAAACATGAAATCTGAGTATTCCCGTAATACTACAAATTACTCTTAACACACACTTTTAAAGCAGTACCACCTCCTTTCTTTTTTAATACTTAATACTATCAACCCTTTCCTTACTGCTAACGTTATTCACAGTTGGTTGGAAGAGCAGGTGAAGAGGACTTCTCAGTGCCCACGTAATGGCTCAGCCTATGGAAGCGGTCTGCAGCAGAACACCTCCAGCTTCATATCATTGCACAGGCAACACAGTCCCAAGTCTCCCACATCAACACCACTACGTGACTCTGCAAGTAATATTTTTACTATTTACACCATCTACTGATTTAGCTGTTGTTCTCTGCATTATAACCATCATCAGAAAAATCTAGAGACAAAGAGGCATGTCCCCTACGTAACAGTTGTAGGTAGTAAAGACTCATATATTGTCCATGCACTGGTGAGAGGCCATTTCTTACCTCGTTTTGATTTATGCAACTGAGACGCTACTCTACAGCTGAGCACCAGCTGTATGAATGCTCTTATGTTGGTCATTTGGAAAAGCTATCCGATACCATCACTCTGAACTTCACCATGCACAAACTAGGCTTAACAGTTTGCATATGATTGTGCAGTAATAAACTTCAGTTACAATTTACATTAAGTTAGGTTCTGAATTATTCATCTTATTCAGATGCACAATCTAGGACTGTGTGAAACTGATCATCAATATTCAGCCATACAAGTTCAGATCTGGGCAAGGAATAAGTCTCATTTATTTGCTGTGAGCCTATAGGCTTTAAAGTCGAGATTCAAGCCCAGCAGGCCAAGAGAGAAAGTTATGAAATCAAACCAGTCAGAAATACATTTGCTGCCATGGATATTGGAAACATAAGGCCTGAAGTATTTTAGAGAAGAACTACAACAGTGAGTAACAGGGATACAGTGAAAACACTTGCACAGTTTGTACTTGTACAAAGGGAAAACAAACTACACAGTGAAACTCAAACCCATCACAGCGAAGTGGTGACTCCAGGGCTGAAACCCTACCTTCATTCAACAGACGAGAGCAAAACATCCCCAGCACATGGAAGCATCAACCACAGCACCGTGCCAGTGTCAGCCAGCATCAACAAGATGTTGTCAGACGCATGTGCTTCGACACCCTTTCTTCGAAAATAACCTGCTTTCTCCTCAGGGAACTAATGCACTCGAAGATGGGGAAAAACAGTCAGAAGTCTGGAAACAAGAACTGCAGATAACCAAATTTTACCACAGAAATAAGCCACCTGGGCAGCCATCAGCTGCCACACTGGCTAGGTTGCAGGGCAAAACCACGGAAAACAATCCGTCTTGTCCCAGTTCAAAACACCAAAAATAAAACTGGCCAATTGGGTGTGAGCTGCTAAATTTTCACAAGCAGCAATGGCAACATTTTTTTTTCCCCTGGCAATTTCACAGGCAAATCTTCTGGCAGACCCCAAATCTAATTAAATTAGGACCAGAATATTTAGTGCAGTGGTATTCTGAATTTCTTCAGAAAAAACCTCTGTGTTTCTTGTGTCGCTTCCGGGGTTTAATTCAAGAGACCAATAGAACAAGACTATTTCTGACATTAGTTCAAGATTTACATTGGCACAGCTGATATATATTATTTTTACTTTTTAAAGGTGGTGGTTATAAGGGCATCGGATTAGATTTTTCTTTCAGTAATGCAAAATCCTAAAATAAATGCAATTTGGTAGTCTGAAAAAAACACCTTACTCTGACATACAATGAAACTACTTTGTGGCCTTCTGTGTTTCAGGAAAATATCCCACATATTCAGATCATCAGGCAGCCTCACTAGTTAAGACACATTAAAATGAAACATTTTCCATTAAAGTTGCCAAAAACTGGATTTAAATTTATTGCATGACGTTGCATAAGAAAGTATATTATTGAAAACCGTAAGGCATCATGCAATTATCCATCAGCTAATTATTTATTATTCCTTGAAAGATGGTTATATACTCTAAAGTTATAAAACCAGTTTCAAAAAAGTACATAAAAAAATTCAACATAAGCATTAAATATTTTTCACATGTTCGTAGTTTTTAGCTGTTAAAAAGTGCATTCAAACATACTGTACTGGAAAGTTGCTCTGACCAAAAGCAGTGCCAGAGACTCATTAAATTAAATGCTGCAAAAGAATGTTTCATGGGATTAGAAAGCTCACAGGTTGTGGTACTTAAACTTACAAACTTGCTTGAAATAATTTTTCAACCCTCACACTGACAATTTAGCATACATGGTATAATTAGCTAAAAATGTGTATTTTTATAACTAAACAGTCAAATGAATTCAAGTTACGTACACTGAGTGATCAAATAAGGAGCAGACTTAATATTCAGACATGGGACAGAATGTACTGATGTGATTTTGGCATTAATCAATGTACTGTGCCATCCAGCGGAAGCCTTCTCCATAGCCTTGTCTCTTTAGCACGCTGCACATAAACACTTCTAGTGGCCTTGCGTTCAATTCTTTCAATGGTATACTGCCCTGCAGAGACACAGAAGTATTCCAAATTACGGTATTGTTATAAAAAGACGGCTACTTAACATTGACATTTGTTTCTATGGAAAGCCATTATTTAACTTGTGTTGGATACTTCAATTTTAGAAAATAAATTATTCTAAAACGTGTACATGTTACTAAGATTAGGATCACTTGAGAAGTACACGAAGCATATTTTCATGCGCATCGACATTTGGAGAGAGTGAAGTACATGAAACCAGAATGCAACAGCAAGCACATGCATAGAGAATTTGAGAGCTTATACTTGGTTTTCAGTCACAGTTCCCTGCTCTGTTTCTAATAGCTTTCCAACCAGATAAAAAGAGCATTTGCTACCAATTGTAGGACTGACCATAGCAAGAGTGCAAGTTGCTTGCTTGCCAAGATCAGCACAGTGCGATAAAGCTGTTCCTCAACTGCAGATTCACAATGGTATTCATACTTCATAGACTACATGCAGTGTTGTAAAAACCAGGCCAAGACACACACACACAAAATTAATAAAAGTCAGTAGTAACTGTTTATAGCCCATTACATCTATTCTAAAACTAACCTGTGCAATTCTCTTTCACGCAGAAAACTAAAAGATAAATATCTGTTCCCACTCAACCTAAACTCTGACTGGCACTAAACTTTAAGGGAAGCATCTAAGAGTGAATAAGCAAAGAGGAATTACAAGACCAGGTGCCTTCCTCAGCAGGGCCACACTGCTGGTCATCTAATAGGAGCTGGGATGGAAGCCACACTGGAATGGCTTTCTCAGCTGCAGAGAGGTGTCTTTCCAAGGGCAAAGGACAACAGAGCAACTTATTTCTAGTGCCCTGTATCCAAATGCCTCCTCCAAGTAGTACACTGTATTTACTTTAAGAAGAGTTGAAGTATCACAAAGATCCATAATAGAAATCTGCTTTGCTGTTACGGATGCCGGTAGAAACTTCTTTTCCTCTCACGACCTACAAACTCAGACTTCTACAATAGTGTAAATCTGTTTCTAAGCTTTAGGTGAACGTGTTAAGTAACGAAGTACTAAGTCTACACTTTAAATGAGAAAAGTCACTTAAAGACTATTAGTTTTCTCTTACAGTTCTCACTAGAACTATAGCCTCTGAAAACTTAATCATCGTTCAAAAAAACTGCATAGGAGAGTTGAAGTATTAAAAGTTATTCTAATAAAGTTTTCTCTGAAAAAATGTGGCATTGAATAGTAGAGATGCATCTAGTACACAAAAAAAGACTCCAGAATTCATTCCATATATGGTTACTATGTACCAAGTACTTTATATATTAAAAACCATTTCTTTTGTGTAGCTGGAATGAACCAGAGTCAACACACAAGTATAAGGCAAACAAACTCCTTAACAAAAAACCAAACCAACAAAACCACAAAAAAAAAAAACAAAAAAAAAAAAAAAAAGGGGGGGGGGGGGAGAGCATTACCTTTCCTGTTGTCTGGCCATACAGACCAAACATCTCTCGTAACCTCTCTTCACTAATGGCTTCAGGTCTGTCAATCTTGTTACCAAGAATTAGGATAGGCACATTAGCAATAGTTTCATCTGTCATTAGTGACTGCAAAGGAAAAGAGAAAGGAGGTGAGATTAATTTAGAATATAGAAGGCCAAATTGCTATTACTCATGTCCAGGTGGTAGCAGGGCTCTGTTGGATACTGGGAATTCGAGCTTATTTCTTAGAAGTTAAAACTTTCAAAAACTTATTTAAACTTACATCAAGTTCTTCTTTTGATTCAAGCAATCTTTCATGATCTGCACAGTCCACCAAGAACACAATGCCATTAATCGCAGGCAGATAGTTTTTCCACACTCTGCGAGCTACGGGGAAGATGTGAATTAAAAACAAAAGGGAATTATCCCAAAATTCAGAGTGAAGCACATCAGTAATTAAGCAGCAACAGGTTTTTTTTTTTTGAAGACTTAGCTTATGTTGCCAATCTTCAAGATGGAATTTCATGTTTTACAAAGTTTGAAATAATGGCGCAAAAGTATCATTCCCCTTTACTGTTATCATCACTCTATCCCACACATACACTGATGTACCAAAACTTTTTATGCTTCCCCAAGAATTATGTCAACAAAGGCAAGTTTGAAGCATAAAGCTTAAAGGTAAATGTAAGCAATTCAAAGCACAGAATCCTCTTCAAAATACAGTTATCAGTCAAAAACTTCTGCTCTACTGCAGCTCTTGCCAAATTGTATTTGGGATTTGTGGTAAGTGGCGGAGATGGACAAAAGAGCAACGTATGTTTTTTATGCTGTCAAAGAGAGTGTGGGAAGTCAACCTCTGCAGTATGGTAGTATTTCTGATTGGAAACAAACGGACTGTAGACAACTCTAACTCAATTCAGTGAGGTTAAGTGAGTCAATGTATTCTCTTACCTTGAGCATGTCCACCCAGATCGAAGGTAGTGAAAGTCATGCCAGCAATTGTCAGCTCTTCTGAAGCTAGAAATACACAGAATTATGTTCTCTGTGAAGATTATGCAGTGCATTGGAACAGTCTAACCTTCTAGCATGTAGATTTTACCTCCTCTCTTGGTTCTTTTCAGTATTTTATATTCAAGAAGCAAATCAGAGTAATACATTTTCTCTCAAAATCAATGACACATTTGTTTAACAACCAAATGTTATTAACCATTAAAACACATGTAAAATACCTACAGTGCTAAACAAATAGCAGAGAATATTTGTACATTATTTATGCCTACGCATTACACAAACAACAGTTGGCTCTGGCATCCGGTTTGCCACAAAGATGGCATTACATGTACAATACTGTTCAAGGTTTCTCCTCTTCACACCCTTTCCCAATTTCTCACCTCCTTACTGGACTTCACCAATCCACATTTTTAACCTGTGTTGAATTTTTTCTCCTGCAAGGCTACCAGGATAACAATTACACAGCAACCTCTGAGCCAAAAAAAAAATATCAAAACAGTGTACATAAATGCTAATTTTCCAGCTACACAGAGAAGCTGCTCCCAAACACTGCAAGCTCCAATTTCCCTCAGCTTCTGTAATCTAGACTCTCAGGTCCACCATTCTGCTTGTTGCTCACCTCTTAATTTTATATATACCACATTGAACTATCCTACGCACATTTTTTTGAATATTACTTGAACTATCTACAGATCATAGTCCCAGAAATTCCTTTGTTTCTCCCCAGTTATGCTGTTGGTCTTACGATGTATAATCAGATCCTGCTTTTCCTGCAACACTTTAAATACTTTCTAGCTATGGAATCAGCAATATTAACTTACTGGGGTGTAACGTGGGGACATGTTGTCCCAGTCTGTCATCTTTGAGCATGTGCAGCAGTGTAGTTTTTCCAGCATTGTCCAGTCCAAGAAACACTAGTTTGCCCGATTTCTTGTACAGTCCTGGAACAAAGAAGGACCTACTGAATAATCAGTTAAATTGGTGGGAGTTACTTTCTAGCTCTAGAGATGATTTTGCTCCCAGGAACAAAGTGTTCAGTCATGGTACAAAATACAGAACAGCCAAGCTCCACCGCGCACTTTATCTATGCCCTTTACCCGCGTTGTCCTACTCGTACAAACTACATTCACACTTGCTCATGTGCCTGCTGCACTACGTGTACCACGTGCAGCTTACAGGAGGGGCAGAGGCTCACAACTGATGCAACGTGTCACTCACATAAACGCATTTACGTTGTCTTAAGAAAACCACAGCAGAACAAGACTAAATTTCGCCCGTGTAGCTTACTCTGCCCCAGCAAAGGGACAGTTTTGCTCACAGGTGGTGGAGAGGGGGGCATGCGCGTACAGTGCTAACAGCAGGCTCTAAAATATGGACCATCTTGGACCTGAACAGAGGGCGTTCTGTTCAGCTACCTCCAATTATGACAAAAAGTTTGTTCAAGGCAAAAAGAAAGTTCAGACCTCAATCAGTATATTACAGAGAAATCGGTTTCAATGTCAATAGTCATAATTAGTATACGTATGAAGACTTTTATGTTGATTCATATATTATTTTGACAAAAAGTAACACTCACCCATAAGCCCAGCTAAATTGCTAAATCCTGAATGGCATCATCAGGGCAATTCTGACATATTTGCTGTCATGTGATAATGCTTTCATAACAGGAATAAGAAATTTTATTTTCACTGATTGTCATCTTTATAAAAATGCCTTTCCCCCTTTTTTTTTTTTCCCCTCTACTTGTAACCCCAATAAATGCAACAGTTGCTGTGAAGGAGAGGAAGGATGTTTAAAACGTGAACACCATATTTTCTGAAGTTTGAGATTATCAAAGGGCAATTCTCTTTTAACTTGCCAACACTACATCCTATGCCAGGATTATTTTTCACGGCTTCAAACTGATCGACACTCAAAGTAAAACATTTTTAAGACAAATTAAACAACAACAACAAAAAAAATCACATTCTGTACTGAAAAAACTACTGAAGTAAGAGTCTCTTAACTTTGCCTTTTTTAAGCAGAAAATCTTCCCTTATTCCCTCTTTGAAGACCTGTAGCTGGATAAGACACACTGCACATTTCCTTAGGAACCACTACTGACTCCACAGCCTTCCCTAGTGCTGAACAGGGCAGAACACTTACAACAGAGGGTGAAGAAATACATACACATATATGCTGAAATTACATTTCTTCAAAAGCAAAACTGAGCTATGTTCCTAACAGAATTCTCTCTTCTTTGTGTAAAAAGAATTGCAAAACACAGCCAAATATTGCAATATGCGAGGTTTTTACATCATCAGGATCTTTTACTATACAATGTCATAATATTACAGTACTTTGCAATATGCTGAAGAAAATTTTATTTTGCCACCACTGCGACAATACAGAAACATTTTGTGAAGTACACTATCAGATTTTACTGTTAAAGCTCAAGCATTCCATCGCTGCAGTCCCTATACTTAACTGCACCTTCTGCAAGCACAACCTACACTGCAAACTACCCACCAACACCCTGCACTGTGCCTCGGGGCCGCAGGCAAGAGGCTGGTAGCCGTCTAAAGGATGCATTAACAGCCAGCCTGGGTCTCCCTGTGTGAGCGAGCCAGTAACATCAGTTTCTGGAGCCCTTATTTTTTTTCTTCTTACCTAATGTGTTATTCTCATACATGTTTTATTTGGTGGGATTTTAAGCGACAGTGTCACACAGGTGGCTGCTCGGACAGCCCCATTGATGCCGCAGCATTACAGGGGCATAGGTGCCTCTGCCTGGCCAACCTTTACACTGCTGCTGTTTGCTCACCTCTCCCTCTGCCTTTAAGCTAATCTCTGGGGTCACATTCCAGCAGGACATGTTTTGTAACTTGCAGGAATGAATATTCTTTCATATTCCTCAGCTTCTTTCATTAATGATCTTTATTACTACAGGAAATACGCTTAGAGTGTCTTCACAGTTCTTTCAAATACAACGACTCTTACTTCCCAAACTCACCTTCTCACACGCCCAAATACATATTACCTATTAAACTACAGACTGGAGGAGAAAGTATTAATGTTTACAGAGAAAGGAGTGGGCAAACATTTTGATATATCAACATATATCACAGAAGAAACTCCAGTTCACACTTACCTTACGAGTTAAACAAAATTCTGCTAAACCATAGTAAAACAATATTTCTGCCACTCTCAGCCTGGACATCCAGGAGTCTTTGCTCCCAAACCAAGTGCTGCTGCTCCCTCTGAAAGATTTCATGCTTCCCAACTGTCTTTCATAGAAACGCAAGACGAACAAGCAGCAATACTTCAGCTATTAGCTACACCAAGACCAGAGTTTATTTGTATCTATATAAAAAGATTCTTTGTGCATTCTAAAAGTATACGTGTGCAAAGATGTACTTCGTAAAGTGATCTTGTCAGCCTGCTGACAGGACAGCACCGGGAACTGCAGGGAGTTTCCCAAATGTTATAATCAACCTTCTTCAACTGTAAAAGTAAATGAGAATGAAAAGAAAAAGTGTTTCCTCTAGAGTAAGAGGGACATATTGACAGTAATTCTCCTTTCTACTTCAAGCTCCAGTATCTTTCACCAGAATTAGACTTTGCATGCACAGGAATGGGAAAGCAGGCTAGCATGCAGTAATCACTGCTCGGCTAAGTAAGAGGAGATAAGAAAGATGAGTCAACTTAGTTAAAATTTCACTGGCTAACATTTCGATAGTAGGCCAAGGGTCTAACATTCAGCGAAAAAGTTTAAACTTTCAACTGATAAAAGGCAGGTGGCACAGCTTGCCATGATTCCTTCATCTCAAATGCTTTTTATTCACTTCAATAAAATCCTTCGAACTTGTAAATTGTGCCTTTAAACTACATGAGCTGCAACTTCTGGTCCTTTTTTTAGTATCCTAACATTCCTTTTCCTCGTTGTTTGTTTTTTTCTTCCCCCCCTCCTGTTTTGCACAAGCTAATATTTTACCTTGGATTGAATGGATTGCAGACTCTTTCGGCCACAGAATATTTTCCTGAGGCTCTTCAGCAGATGCCAGTGAAGTTTCACACTGATTTCAATGACATCAGTCACAGAATAACACACTGCTGAACATGAGCAAGGGCTTCAATATCTGGCACTAATTTTTTGTAGACAGTCCCTCATATTTGGATTCTCAAGTGATATCCTCATGTGCAAAAGAACTGAGCTAAAATAACTGAGTTCAGTTCTTTACAGCAGAGAAAAAATCAGGAGAAACCCCATAAAAGTCAACTGAATTACACCAGCTTAAATGTAGTATGATTAGAAAAATCAAACCTATTGTGTTTATGAAAGAATATGTAATTTTTTTCCAAGAGGTTAAATGATTAACCCAAGATTCATTGGACAGCACACTCTGGAAATACTCAATATTGATAAGTGAAACTTTTGTCTGAGTGTTACTGAATATGCACCAAAACAAATATTATTATTTAACCAGCGGCTATGTTTGAAGATAACAGAGGTGAACAGACATTTTATACAAGAATAGCAGAAAGGAAAAACGCCAAGCAATAAAAACTTACCTAAAAACTGTAATACGCTACTGAAACCACTGTAAATCCAATCAAATATGAAGGACATATCTGAATCTTACAGTCTGAAACAAACAGAAAATACAATGCATTTAAGATCTGTCAGAACAGCACATTAAACATTGTAAGATATTTATAGGTAACAGAAGTAATTCAAAGTCCTGGGTGAAAAATAAACAACAATTTAGTTTTGGTAAACTGTACCATGGACCAATTAAGTGACCCCACAATGCATTAAAAAAAGAGTGTAGAAATGGAAAACAGAATCCAGACCTTGTGAGCTAGCAGCAAAGACCTTTTCCTCCTCTTGGAAAACACTACGTGGACAGAAGTCTTTGCAAGAAGTAAAAATAAATTTATCTTAAGTATGGTTTGGTGGAGGTGTGTGATGTTCCACTGAAGATTTCAAATGGGATCTTCACATAAACTTTTCAACCAGGTAAAAGTGGCACTTCTGAGAGGACAATAGAAGGATTTCAGTGCCCCAGCTGAACTTGGGAGCTGCTGGGGTTTGAAGCAGAGGCGATAAGAGATGAAGTTTTGTGAAGTTGAATCCAGAGAAGTTTGATACCAAGTAAATCCCTATTGTCTGCACAGAACCTGTTTGTTTGGTTTGTAATGGGTAAAAACTACCTAGCACAAAGCACTGGCATTGCCATTCAGGGACCATGACCTCCTGTACTGTCCTGCACAGGCTGCCACAATTTAAACCTTAAATGCAAAACTTACGTTTAAAAAAGGACTCTAGAACGCCATGCTTCCCACCAAATTCCTTCAGCTTAGATTCAAGAACAAAAAGTTGAGCTAAGAGCAGCCAGGGTGACTATAACCAGCAGTCTAGTTGTGCCATACAACCGTCAGCCAACTTCAGCCGACCATCACAGGCAGGGGACCCCTTGCTACCAGGATGAAGCTCTGCTACTCATTCCACAAATACCCCTTCTTTGTGGTACGGTTATAAACCCCTGGGAAAAAAGTAAGAGGCCAGGATGGACTGCAGAGACTGAGAAATTCAGTTGTTCTTGCCCCAGAAAAAAACTCTCCGCCACTGAAGACAGGGCTGTCTTCTGAACAAGCGGCCACGGCAGAGGTGTCGGGGGAGCTCTGGCACACCTTGAGTGCGCAGGAGGACAGGTAGCACAGAGGAGGAACCACCGCTGCTGCCAAAGTGATGCTTTGGGGTGCAAGAATAAAGCCATCCCTAGGTTCAATGTGCAGGCATGAGCAATTAATTTCTTAGCTTTCATCCTAATTTCCTCATTATCTAAAGTGAGGATAATCACACTGAGCACCAGTTTGACACAGTGAATTAGTATCTAGTGTGAAAACCTCTTGAAAGACTAAAGGGCAACATCCTTATAAGCATTTAGCCAGCTAATTCCTACTGGAGTGCATAACCCCTGCTAACATCAGGGGACGGAGTTCAACTATCCTTGGGAAACTGGACCGCAGTGCTAAGTCGCTGCAGACTGTCTTGCCGCACTCATTTTGACATTGCGGCGGTGCCTTGAGGCATCACAAGAGGACTTCTACGGCAGCTTTGACCCTGGAGCACATCACACAGTAGTCAAAACACAGGTCAGAACCAGATCAAAATCCAGGCATCTGTCACTGCAGTTACACTCGTGACAATGAACAGAGTTTCTCTGCTACGCAACAACAGGTCTATCGTAGAAAGATAATATGGAAAGAGGAGGAAAGAATATTTTAATTAGGTTTGCTTGCACTGGAACAAAATCTGGTCAGATGATGAAGCACTAGGAGTCTTGGTTTCTCAACAACTAACCCCGAAACCCTTACCTATGTCCTACGTCACTCTGAATAACTGATCAGCTGCAACAGGCACAAATTTTAAGAATACAAGTCAAATACGATTGTCAATGCATAAACACCCAGTTACACAACATCACGACTTAAACTGTCCCTTGCATTGCTAAAAAGCAAAGGTCAAGAATAAGCAAACACGACAGAGCATACACGTCAGCAGATTTATTTATTGCTTGAGCAAAATACCGATCGAGAAAAGCCTCTATGGGGCTTAGAAAAACGATCGACTCAAATAACCTGCAAATCAGGGCAAACGGCCTGATGTAAGAGAAGTGCTCAGGTTACTGATGTGAGAATAACTTCACAGTGTTTAGTTGTACTAACTTTTTCCACCTATTAAACTTATGGATAAAACAAACAAACAAAATCTTCATGCATCACAGAAAAGACTTTAAGGGGCAAGATTCAAATTATTAAAGTGAGAACAGGATTACCTGCAAATACAGCTTTAGTGGCATTAATATAGGTTAAATTTCCATCACCACAAATCCAAATACACCCAGAACAGCCTCCGTATCAGCTGGCAGCGCTTAAAGGAAAATACTTCTTAAATGGGGAAAAAAATGGACAGCTAATTGTAAAGGCACACTGGTAATATTTGAATAGAGATATTAAATCTACTCTTATCACACAGGAAAAGTAACTACATAATTCACAACAGTGTCAAATCAGAGCATTATAAAGCCATAGTGGCTCTGCATTGGTATCAAGAGCTGTTACGCTGCTAACATGTCCAAGTCACAGAGCTACGCTGAACTAAGAGAAGAACTGAGGCTGTTCAATACACGTGAACGCAAACTCTCAGGCTCATGTTAAAAATACCATAAAAGTAGGACAACAAAAACTCTGGCAATCACTGTTCACAAGCCATGATGAAGACAAAAATACTATTTTAAGGTTATTTCAAGGGAATCCTTGAAAATAATCAGTTGCGAGCAGGCATAAGCTTATAATGAAAAATTGTACTGGACACAAGACAATCTTCTGATACCAAGTACTTTTACAGACATCACCAACTTACTTGTGCTTCCTTAACAAAAATAGGAAAATTAATTTTCTAGCATCACATCAACAACAGATGGCTATCACTTCAAAATGTCTCCAACAACCCTGGGTGACATTATTTCATCAGCAAAGTATCATTTGGTAACTCCCGTGGAGCCCTGTAAGCCACTCTATAGACCAAGGAGACGGGTTTGCTTACTGAACAACACTTCTGACCACAGGGATGCGGAATTCCCACCCAGTGGCTTTGGCAACAACTTGAGCCAGCCTCCTGAAGGGAACGTCGCTGGCAGCAAGGACTGGCAAGCAAACTCACTCACGCTTATTTCTTTTATATTCTGAGAAACAGGAAATTTTTTCCCCTACTCTCAACTGGCATTTTTCTAGCTAAAAATTCATCATTTCATTTCTGAACCAGTTAGAATAGTGCTTCTAAAGTCTGTGAAACTTTATATAAGAGAAGATATCAGGCTTTTAAAGACAGTTTTAAATCCCTTTATGGAATAATTAGTAAACAGAAACCAGTGACACCCAAGCTGAACAGCTCTTGCAGTAACTGGAAACGCACTGTGCTGTGTCTGGGTGGGTACTGTCACAAGAGCTAGGAGAGAAACCTCTGTCCAACCTACCTGCAGCAGCCCTGCACCCCAGCCACAGTTAAGTCTACAAACACAACTTGCACGCAAAAGCTTCAAGTCTATTCTTAAGGGTGTATTTGCAGTCTTTCAAGTAGGGTCTAAACATGATCACTTAAAGTTATGGTTTCACATATGATCATTTTAACATCATAATATGTTACCACGGACCACAAAAATAAAAATCCCTAAGAAACTCAGTGAATAAACTGATACCTGCCTTCTACAGCATGGCTTATTCTATGATATGAAACTGCACATTGATGTAGTATTTTAAAAGTTGAGGAAAAGGACAGAGTTTGAAAATGAGGTAACAGCATAGATTTTCTTTCGGTATTTTAACAAGTTTTTTTGATAGCAAGTCATCTTTGAGATTTTGGAAAGAGCAATCATCATACTGGTCCATTACTAATTGGGTCGGAAACCACAAAGATTACATATTGCCTGGCAGATGACTTAAATTTAGCTATATCGCACCTTTTACTCTGAGACAGCCCGTCTGAATGTCACGAAGACCTTAAGCCCACCCAAAACAGCAAACAGTTTATCTGTGAGGATGGCACTGCAACATGCATGCTCGCTCCTAAAGGCGCCCAATGCGGCGGTTCAGCGGCAGCCTGGCTCGCAAAAACCAGTTGTCAGAGCCCACTCTCCACGTAGGGCCTACTCCAGCAGGTTACTTACTTTTATGTATATCTAAAAAATACGTTAGAAGTCTTGATTTCTGAAGAAACCACAATACTTGGAATAAATCTTGACAGATGGGTACAGCGTGACAGACAGCTGCCCAAGAAGGCTGCAGAGCACCTGTAGGTTACGGGGCGATACTCACGACGCGCTCCTCCACACCACGGACCCCCCCTCAGGCGAGGCAGAGCCCGGGCAACGAAGGAACTGCCGCACACCCGTGACAGGCTCACGGGCCGGTGCCTCCAGCCCCACGGGCGAGCGAAGAGAAGCGGGAGGGAGGCCGCACCTCCCCTCAGAGCAGGCCGCGGAGCCCCCGGGCCAGGCCCAGCCGCGGGCCGCTGCCGGTAGGATACGAGAGCGCGCCCCCGCCCCCCGGGGGGC